ATCTAAGTTCAAACTCTTCATTTTCATACCAAATTTGCTATTTTAAGATTTTATTTGAATTTCCTTAATTTATTCAAATACCATTTGAATAAATATTTGATTTAATCTTATAATTGAATTTACAACTTAAACTTATATTTGCTTTTCAAATATTTTCTTTTATCTCCAAAATACCCTTTAGCCACTAAAAAGCCGCCGGTTGGAACTTTACGCCTTCCATGGGGACGTTCGCGCGGTCTACGGACCTCAACGTCGGACCGTTGGTTGTAAAGCCCGGCAAAAACCAAACCCAAGGCCGAAGTGCTGCTCCTGGCACCCCACGCCTTGATGCGTATAGCGGTCGGAGCTTCACTATCCTCTCGACCTCCATTGCACGCCGCACAGTTAGCTCTCGAGCTCTGTGTGATCCTAGCCGCTCCGCCGCCACTCACGGTTGTCGGAGTAACACTTCCACCCCACTAAACCTGCATCACCTCCTATTCTTCTAGCCGATATGTTGTCTATCGACACCGGCTAGAAATGATACCAAATCTAGTCGTTATGCTGTCCAACTCTAGCAACGACTAGCAAACACCTAAAACCCTAGCCGATATTTATCCTACCTCGATATCGGCCTAAACAACTAAACCCTAGCCACTATTCTACAAAAGCCCAACCTTGACCCATATTATCCACATACCTATTTAACCATATCAACTATCCAGTATATTTCCTATCATCCAAATCACGAGAGCCTTCACATAAAATATAAGCAACATTAGTTGCTTGATTCCCTTTTTACCTTAGCCTCCAACCCTCTAGAACCTCCACTTAAAATATTAGCCCAGTAATCCCTATGCCCTACAAAAGAGATAGGTTATACCTTAAACCCTAGCCCTCTTAAGCTGTTTATCGTTTTCTTATTATTTTATGGCTTTTATTGAATTTGGTTCTTCCTCTTTCTCAGTAGAGTTTATTGTCTTTTGGATGGCAAACTTTGGTATTTCGAGAATCGGATAATCAGGTTGCCTATCTTGGATTTATTTGCGTTGGAGCAAGGCAAGTTATTATTCCTCCCCTTTGAGCATAATGATCATATATTCTTATATATCTATTCTATGCATTAGTCATACATGATTTCAAATGCATAACCTGAACATAGCAAATTAGATATGATAGCTTTTGCTTAGCCCTTCCTAGTTAGACTGCATAAAATATAATGAACTTAGATTGGGACAGTACGGTAGAAATGGTTGATTTCCGGGTGGCTAGTACTGTTCCAACCGACATAAGACTGCCAAGTACATGTGAAGAACATACGAGTACGACCGCAATTCTCGTATGGGCATAGACCTAGCTGATTAAGTTATCTAGCAAAGGTGGTACCTCTGTGTAGTGGTTCTTATTTAAGTCCTCGCGCAGGAGGCAAATTTATTCCGCGAAGGGCAATATTGTGATATTTACCGTGGCGCAGGTAAATATTTGTTTGAGATAAATTATGATGTCATATGACTTGTTTGTGAACCCTGATTGCGATGACATGGTGTCATACAATCAGATCTCTCTAAAGACCCCGGAAATGCCAGAACTCCTCTCGCTGCTGATAATGTTACGTTCAGAGCGTATGGGGATTATAGTTCATGGAACAGGTACCACTGATGTTAGTAACCGAAAAGCTTTGTAATGACAAGGCTAATGTGTTTGGCACGTCATGTATTGCGGGTAAAGCGTATATCTACTGCAGTATGAATATCCTCAAAACTATTCGAGTAGCCGTGCTCGCGGTTATCGGGCATTGGGACTCACTATGGCATCTTGGATAGAAACCTAATTCGAAATTTTATTAAATACTGATGCATTTAAAACATTACAGGTTTTCTACTTCTACATTCTCTGCTTTCTGCAAGTAAATCTAGCTCTATACAGATATTACCCCTCATGCATTCATTGTTGAATAATATAATAGCTTGCTGAGTACGTTGTACTCACCCTTGCTTCAACCCCTCTTTTTCAGAGTCTATTTGGAGTTTTTGTCGAAGCTGGGAGTTCAATTACATAAGTTAGTTCCCTTTAAAACTAGTCTTCAAGTCTAGTATAATTAGACGGTTTAATTCTATAGTAAAACGGCAGAATTGGGTCATAGTATAGCTTCTGTTGTAATAGGTAGCCACAAATTTGTAAATGCCCTATTATTTTATATAAATATATCTCCTTTGGAGTCTTGACCAAATTTATGCGATAAAGATCCAAATTGTTGAACCTGTATCAATCTACTGATTCAGGGCTTGATACAGTTAAATATGTCGGTTTCTGAATCGTTAGTTTTGGGACCCGACATGTTTAGTTCACACTAAAATTGGAAGTCTGGCTGAAATTGGAACGATGTGATAGAAAAGTTGAAAGTTTGTGTGTGTAGGAAAGTTTTGATGTGATGGAAAAGTTTAAAGTTTGAAGAAAAACTTTGGAAGGTCGTGTTTAGTTCACCCCAAACTTTCAACTTTCTATCACATCACATAACATCCAAAACTTTATTACACACATAAACTCTTTTTTTTTCTAAACTTCTAACTTTTCCTAAACTTTTAATTTTTTTCAGGAGCTAAACACAGCCTTAGGGCATTAAAGTCGGAGGATGAGTCCGACGACGCTGACATGAGCTAGCAAACGCATGAGTGTTTCTGCCTGTAGCCTGTAGGCTGTACGGCTGTGTTCGTTTGGGATGGTTGGGAACCAAACTCCTCCGCACGGAAAACGGAGCAATCCATTAGCATATGATTAATTAAGTATTAGCTCATTTTTTTAAAAAATGGAACAATATAATTTTTTTAAACAACTTTTGTATAGAAACTTTTTACAAAAAATGCACTAAAATAGTAGTTTGAAAAGCGTGCACGTAAAAAATGAGAAGGGAGAGTTGGGAACAAGGGGAAACGAACTGAGCCGTACCCAGCTTTGGCGTTGGCGCAAACCCATTCGACCGCGTTGCTCTCGGTTCTGCCAAAGATGCGGTTAATAATTTACTACTCTCTCTGTCTTAAAAAAAAGACAAACCCTAAGTTAACGTGTCCAACGTCCATCTTATATAAAATTCTTTTATAATTAATATTTTCATTGTTGTTAGATGATAAAACATGATTAATATTTTATGCGTGACTCGTTTTTTTAATATTTTTTATAATTTTTTAAATAAGACTAACGATCAAACGTTAGATACGAAAATTTAGGGTTTGTTTTTTTAACGGAGGGAGGACATTACTCCTTGGTGCAGCCTTTGCAGACGTGCAGTATATCGATTGACATCTCTTCATCTACGCTCTCCTTGTTTTTCTTCACTGCAGCAGTACATGGGGCCAGTTTAGTTCCAAAAATTTTCCCCTTCACCCATCATATCGAATTTTTGGACACATGTATGGAGCATTAAATGTGGACAAAAAGAAAAACCAATTGCACAGTTTAGCTATAAATCGAGAGACGAATCTTTTGAGCCTAATTAGGCCATGATTAGCCATAAGTGCTACAGTAACCTACATGTGCTAATGACGGCTTAAGTAGGCTCAAAAGATTCGTCTCGCGGTTTCCAGGCGAGTTCTGAAATTAGTTTTTTTATTCGTGTCCGAAAAACCCTTCCAACATCCGGTCAAACGTCTGATGTGACACCCAAAAATATTTTTTTCCCCAACTAAACACACCCATGATGCAGAGCTGCAGGCGTGTCGCGTGTTACTGCCCAGCCTAGCTCGATCTGTAGCACGTGGCCGGCGTTGCATGCCGCCGTACTGGTTGCATCGGTACATCCTGACTCCTGAGTCCCTTTTTTTTTTTTTTGAGAACCACATCCTGAGTCCTGGACCTTCACATGCATGCTCACACGAACCGATCTTTTCTCGTTCAATTCCTCCACGAAAAACTTCTCAAAAGAAGAAAATAAAGAAAAAAACAAACAAAATCTGCATGATGTTGAAGCACCGCGGGTGTACTCTACGTGTTGCATTGATATCCGGGTTTATCGAATCGTTTTAAATGGGGTTACCATTATCCTAGGTTTCGGTGGTTACCATGGTAGCCGTACGGTTATCGTGAGATATACTGTAGTTCTATAAACTAAGAAGATTATTACACCCGCGGTTTTGTAAACCTGCCATGGTCCTCATCGGTAACCCTACAGCTTTAGTTGATCAGTCAAAGTTGGCCTTTTTAGTTTAGCATAATCAGTCCTAAAAAGTTGTCCAGAAAGATCGGATCCACTACCAATAGCTGGTGCTTATTTAGCCCAATAAGCTAACCGATGGGTTTAGTGTTGAATATCAGTCTCAGCAACAGCAAACCGATGAGGTCCCATGACTTCTCACACTGCTCCTCTTCTGACATTCACAAGCTCTCATTCAATTTGTGCATAATGGGGGTGCAAGATATGTAAAAAGAACTGTACTCCTGCTGCTATTTTGTCTGCATAAGTCATAGGCTGTTGCCACCTCGCAGTGCGCCGTTTCATGATCATGAACATACTGCCGATGCGTGCACCCGGCCCCATGTTCCAACAATATCTTGCCCTCGGATTTTCACGGAAAATTTCCAACGAAACGGTTGATTAATTTCGTTCTTTTATATGAATCAACTGCAAAAAGGTGTTCCCAATTACCATAACTAGGGGGGCCACACATTTGCATTATCATGGACTTAATTATCTCTGTAATGTAACTCCGTTTTACTTTTGAATTTTTCCTAATTAAACTAAAAATAAGTTTAATCAAGATTATAAAAAAAGAAAAATTGGCAAAATCTAAAACATCAAATTAGTCTCATTACAATTTAACATGAACGCATTCCAGTAAAATATTTGTTTTGTATTTAATTTGTCTCATTACAATTTAACATAAACATATTCCAATAAAATATTTGTTTTGTGTTTAAAATACTACTGTGTTATTTTATAATCTTAATCATATAGTAATTTAAAATGGAGGGAGTAATAATATATAATAATAAAGCACTGATGAGCATTTGCTTCGCACAACGCAACATACCAAAACCCAAATTAATTCATTAATTAACTCTGACCGATCGAAATCGATCACAGCGCGCGTATATATATAGTACAAGCGAAACCACCAAAATAATTTGGCAATACATATATCACGCGCCCAATTCAGCACACCTGGCACGACGACGATACATACATGCATACATACAATCAATTCAAGCCCAAATTACCCCCAAAACGTTACCCATTAATTAATTAACTGCACGCACTCAAATCATGATTAATCGTAGCCGTACACGTACTCATCCCCATCCATCCATCCATCCATCGGACGGCCAGCAAGCATCGATCACAGATCTCGATGAGATCTCAGGCGTCGCGGTCGCGGTGGCACTCGGGCGACATGGCGGGGTAGCGTTCGCGGTCGTCGCAGTAGTTGTAGATGGTGTGCGTCTTGCGGACCCAGGCGAGGCGGCGGTACTGGTCGGCGTCGAGGTCGCGGAACTCCGGCTGGTCCCACCACCGGGCGCCCTGGGTGGCGCAGTACCGGGCCTCCGCCGACGCCTCGCAGCCATCGACGTGGAAGCCCCGGTAGGAGGCGACGAACGGCGCCCGCGACCAGTCGGTCTTCTCCCGCCCGCCGCGGGTGGCCCAGTCGTCGGCGTTCCACAGGCTGGAGTAGAGCTTCATCGGCTGGTTGAACGGGTACCGCACGCCCAGGTCCTTGCTGTTCTTGAACACCCTGATCGGCGTGTCGTCCACGAAGAACCTGCATATATTGATAGATCGATACATTCAGATTTCAGAACGTACGTATGAAGTTTACAGGATTTTCATGTGCTCCCTCCGTTTCAGATTACAAGTTGCTTTGATTTTTATTAAAATCAAACTGCTCTCGTTTCATCGTCGTTTTGACTTCGATGGAAGTTAAAATGTTCTAAGTTTAATCAAGTTTGTAGAAAAAAAATAGTAACATTTTCAACCCAACACAAATATATTATGAAGATGTATTTAAATTGTAGACTTAATAAAATTAATTTGCTACTGTAAATATTACTATATTTGTTTACAAACTTGATCAAATTTAAAGTAGTTTGACTTTTAAACAACTTATAATATGAAACGGATGAGGTAGATTTTAGATCTGTTTGAGATAGCTGTACATTTTTTCATAACATTTTGTGTGTATAAATTGATGGGAAATAATTAACCTGCACATGTATATATATACATTTAGAACGTATGAATTTTACTGGATTTTTATGTAGATTCTAGACCCGACTGAGACAGCTAAAATTGGTTCATAAATGGGTAATCTATAATTTTCTATAACAAAACTTATGTGTATAAATAAATGAGTTAACTACTATAAAAAAAATTAAGGAAATGTTGCAGAAATGTATTACAAGAAAAAAAAATTATATAGAAATAAAAACTTGCACTGGAAAATCTGAAATTTAGAAATATAATAGGGCTATCATAGGATTTTACTGGAACACAGGAAATACATAGTATTTTCATCAAGTAGTAGTAGGAGTAGTAATTTCAGTTAATACTACTACTACTAGCTTTTAATTTATTGCGGTTTGCTTTCAATAAACTGTTAGCGCACAGCGGCTATCCGCTTCTTGTTCGCACTGTGCAACGCTGTAGCATCGGCGCGTGTCAGCGTGTGGGCCCCACCGCCGACCGACCCATCCCTGCTTTTCATGTTCTTTCTGAACTCTGCTGGTCAGGGACGACATGTACACGCGCGCCAAAATCAATTGCACATGCGCGCCAATCTCTCGTCTCACCGTGCAGGTACCTTTTGCTTTGCTCATCTTTACGGTGGATTCAAAGCATCTTAGTACTACTGACACCGCACTAATTACTCTTACTACTTTCATCCCAGTCTAAGGCAGGATTAGACCCATCCTACCTGGCTACATTTTGAGGAAAAAAAAAGAGAAAATCATTCTGCTAATGTAATACTCTCCCGGGCTATAATATACTCATATACTAGTTTCAAAGTTTTTTTTCAAACTTCCAACTTTCCATCACATCGAACCTTTCATACAACACACAACCTTTTAGTCACATCGTCTCCAATTTCAATCAAATTTTAAACTTTGGGCCAATCTAAACACAGCATAATTCTACAACTCTATTTGTCTTAAAATATACTGTCTGTATTTTAATATATAATACATTTTTTATAACGTTTGACTATTCATTTTATTCAAATTTTTTATGCAAATATGAAAATATTTATGTCATACTTAAAATCACAATAAAATAAATGATAATTACATAATTTTTTTATAAGACGAATGATCAAACGTTAGATAAAAAATTAACGACATTATAAAGATATTATAAAATATTTTAATACTACGAATCTCAAAGTTTACCAGAGTTGATAGTTGTAGATTGTGCTTCCTTATTTTTATTTTCTTCGGAAAATGAGGGAGTACAATGCAAGTAAATAAGTGGGGGTGTTAATGAGGGGTAATTAGCGTACGCGATCATGTAGAGGTTCCAGAGGACGGAGTAGGAGTGGTAGTCCTTGGTGGGGTCGAACCAGAGGTAGATCCTCTGCTCCCGGTCCCCCTTCCCGCCGGAGAAGACGTTCGTCTGCAGGATGTACGGCTCCCCCGTCCTGTTCCCCAGGAACTCGAAGTCGATCTCGTCGTGCTCCGAGTTCTGCGACGACAGCTGCAAATTCCCCAATGCAAAAAAACCACACATCATCGATCTCCGATCAAGAAGCAGAAGGGGAAGAGGATCAGGGAGCAATGGCGGCGGCGTACGTAGAAGGCGGTGACGGTGCCGGCGGAGTCGCCGGCGACGAGCTTGATGTGCATGCTGAAGTGGCCGAAGAGGTAGGAGCCCCGGGTCTGGAAGCCGGTGCCGGTGGACTTGTCGAGGTAGAGCTGCACCTCGCGCCCGCCGTCCACGTAGTGGATGTGGTCCTCCGCCCACGTCGGCACGTAGTTCTTCTCGAACGCCACGTCCACCGGCTTCCGCGGCGCCGCCGCCTCGCCGCCACCCAGCAGCAGCACCGACATTGCCACCACCATCGCCGCCGCCGTCGTCGTCGCCATGTTGGTGGTGAGTGGTGGTTGTGTGTGCTCCGAGCAGAGGAGCTCGCGAGTATTTATAGGGGCTCTGCTCTTCTCGGCTTCCGTTTTCTGATTATCTTTTGCTAATTAATAATCCACCTGTTCCTCTTCTAGACGCTACAGTGAACTGTGAAGCTAACTAGAGCAAGTTTAATAGTACTGCCAATTGTAGGCTACAAATCAACTATAGTCAATTTAATAGTTAATTTATATAATAGTTATCAATAAACATGTTATGCATAATTAATGTCTGTTCCCACGTATGATACACACATGCATCTTGTGGTCCGTGCTGTAGCTGGCTATAAATCTATAGCCCGCTGCTCTTATCTCTTTTCTTTTATATGCTTAAAATATGTTTATAGTCAGCTTATAGTCTACTATTGTACATGCTCTTAGACGAAGAGTGTGTGATTTGGGATAAAATTTCTTTTAACTTTCTTATTTCTCATCAACACGTTTTTCGGTGTGTTTTAAAAAAGTATATAAATAGAAGTTGTTTAGAAATTCAAATAAATCAATGTTTTCAGTTTGAAAAATATCCTCCAACGGACACTTGAGGACTGAAAGAAATCTTAACCATTGATTTATAGTTACTACATAAGAGAGCTTTTTTCTCATATTAATAGTTGCTGGTAATATACATAGATTAGTAACTACTACAGTAAAGACCATGGTGAAACATCCGTTAAATAAAAGTTGTTAATTAAGTACTCGTGATTAGCTAGCTGATGACCAAGTTGTAACCATGTAATAACGGGTGAGTGAGTGAGTGACAGAGTGATCGAGCAAGTTCATAGCAGCTGCTGCGCCAGCTGCGGCCAGACCACCACATGGGTGCACTGACGAGCCTGTGAGGCGAAGGTTTTGTCTTGTGCGTCGTGTCAGGTTGGCCTAGTGGTGAGATGCATGATGCATGGGAGCAGTATCAAGCTGACGCCATGGGATTATATTGAATTTAATCTGAATCATGCATTGCATACTTTTATATTAGATATATCAGCACACAAGTTGGGGGCATTCTTGCAGAGGATGTTTATGTAGGCGTCTCGAACATGAAGTTATTAACAAAAAGTGCTTATATATATGTTTCTTGATAGTGTGTGTATATATATACTACTACTACTAACTACACCGTAGTGTACGTGTTGTGTGCGCTGTCACAACTCACAAGAAGCTTCTAAGCACGCACGAACGCATCAGCATCAATGCTCCATGAAATTTGTGGTACAAGTGATTAGCGCAGTAGTATATATTACTGCATGAGTGTGTTTGTTTGGTTGGTTAATCTTTCAGTAATTGAAAAGTGATTTGCTCGCGGGGAGTACTAGTATATATATTGGTGGCAGCTTAATTAAGTTGCAAAACTTTTTTGGTCAGTCGCTGGCCAAAATGTTCCTGTCTGGTAGTATATCGGCGATGAATGGAGCTAGCTAGCTAGCTACAACCACACGCTGTAGTGGTGTACAGTAGGTCAGTAGCAGTGCTACAGTGGAAGCGCGTGTAGTGAGGCCAGTTCAGTGCAGTGCAGTGTGCAGGCAGGTCGGTGACCGGACCGGACAGGAATGAATGCTGTGGCCGGGGGTTCACATGGGCGGTGAACTCGCATCGCTATCAGGAGCCGTCCCTACGTACGTGTACCGCCCGGGGATACATCGAGCTAGGCCGTGTTTACTTCCTCCAAATTTCCAAATTTCCATCGCATCGAAAACTTTTCTACACATATAAACTATCAACTTTTTCTTCAAACTACTAACTTTCTCCCAACTTCCTAACTTTTCTACCATCTAAACACAGCCATAGTATATCCAAGTCCTAATGCCTCAACGCTCGCTACGTACCGACATGAACAACGTCGCCGACTGTCCGGTGATTTTGAGGTTCTCTAAACCTTAAATTTAAAGTCGATTTTGAGGTTTTCTTTTAGAAGTTTATTTTTTAGCGTTTGCTTTAAATGGTTAAGAACAAGTATGTAAAATTTTATTCACAAATTATTTTTCGTTTACAAATAGGCTTATTTCATGAATATGCCAAATGATGGGGCTGCTCAGCTTTTCCATCAAGTCTATTTTTCAATCTTTTCTTCCAAACTATGATAAACGATTTACTTATAATTTTTTTTACCTTGGTTTATTTTTTTTCAGCTTATTAGCGGTAGTTTAACTGATCAAAAGTTATATAATTCTATATGACTTAAAAGGAGATAACAAGTTTAAGGCTAAGCTGATAACGAGCACGTAAAACAAGGTGTGTTATTAGCAAAGTAATTAATTAAGTATTAGCGGTTGCTGCCCGCGGCGGCGTCGGCCGCGCCGATGCTGCCCGTGGCGGCGTCGGCTGCGCCGTTGCAATCCGCGACGTCGTCGATGGTGCAGATGTGTCATGCAATGGCGTGGATGTGACTCGGATGATCTCCTCTTCTTCAACCTTCTCCATCGAGTTACCAAGACAGCATGTTCTTCACCACCATCTTCGGATTAAGTCTTTGGTTGGCTGGATTTGGGGAAATTCTTCCTCTTTGTCTCTTGGCAGCAATAACCATGCAGGGTTTATCGTTCGGGTTGAGCCCAGATTGGATTTGCAATCTTGGTTTACAGGTTTACAGTCCGAGCTCCTCAGATTCAACGATGAACTCCGTGGAAATATTTTGCGGAGTCCGGTGATGCTCACACCAAAATCTACGGCTTCGCAACAAACCTCTCGTATGTGTCGTTTCCGTGGAGGCAGCCGAAGGGGTTTACCGGTTCGTCAAGCAGAGTACACATCAATAGAGGCCCTTGGATGCAATCGTCGCGGCATTGCCGCAGTACCCTGTCGATTTGCTCCTTCTTTGCTGCTTAGTTTCATTAGGAAGTTTGCTTCCTATTTTCAGTTGATCTCTCTTATTAAAGATGGTACAACTCTTATGTTTATCATGGACGATGTATTTGGGAATTCAATTCCCCTAAATGCTGTCGTTTAATAAAGCGTGTTATGTTTTAAAAAAAAAGTATTAGCTGTTGCAAACTCAAAAATAATTAATATGCATGATATTAATTCAAAGAAACTTTTAGATAGACTTTTTTAGAAAAAAATACGCCATTTAATACTTCAGGAAGCGTGCTCATGAGATACGAGGGGAGATTTTTGCCGACTCTGCTGTGCCGAACAGAGCATAGGGCTCAAATTCAAAGACTATAGTGTCTCCGGCCGGCACCAATGCTAATTATTTTGGGCATCAATACGATCCTCAAGATATACTATCTCCTTCCCATCGTCGCTTTGACTTTTTCTGGAACATTTGACCATTCATTTTTTTTTAAAAATAGTGTAAATATAAAAAATAATAAATCAAATTTAAAGTACTTTTGATAATAAAACAAATCACAAACAAAATAAATAATAGTTTCAAGTATTTTTTTAATAAGACAAATAATCAAACATTACAAACAAAAACTTAAAGCGTCAAGTAATATGGGATGGAAGTAGTAGTTTTCTACAACTAACTGTAACTGTATGTACAAATTTAACAAAAAATATAGTGCATATGTTAATTTATATTGTATTCCCTCAGTCCCATAATATAAGGGATTGGATGTGACACATTCTAGTATGTCACATCTACTCAAAATATCTTATACTCCCTTCATCTACTTTTGATAGTCATATTTCCAAATCTGAAAATTTTATTTTTGATAGGCATATTTCAATCTAACAACTTATTATCTTAATGACTTTCTTGGATTTAATGCATGACTCTTCATTCTTCCACACAAGATTGGTTGCATGAGCATCGAGAAATGTAAATATTAATGAATCGCTTGTTTACGAGGAATGACTAGTAGCATATTTAAATGGATGATAAGTAGAATCACTTATCCTTGGTCTGTGTGTCAAGATGAAATATGACTATCAAAAGTAGATGGAGGGAGTATTATGGGACGGAGGGAGTATATATCTTCCTTTTCCCTTATGTTAGTTTATTTTCTGAAACCGAAAGTAATATTGTCTCTACGTGCGCCGTAGCTAGTAAACGTGGCCTCCTACTAACCGTTGCAAGCAGAATTAACTACCAGTGCTAACTGCCACCAAGAAGAGTATAAGCCATGCGCCCATGTGCAATAGTTTTTGGGGCCAGAGATGAACAAAAAAAAAAGAAGAAAAATGCCGGTTTGGTACAACATGCCGAGGCGCACGTATATAACGTTATGGCATGAATGGCGCGGCTGACGAGCGAGGATGTCGGGGAGCATATTTATTTATTTATTAACCCTTAGCATCGATATTAAGTTAAACAAAAGAAGCTAATTAAGCAACCCTCCATTCACAAATACTAAGCTAGCACTTTAGGATATTGACATTAAGGACACCAACAATGTATATAGATGAAGTGGTCAGGTGGTATTAGTTGTTGCAAACCCCACACAATGTATATGGATATGGTAGGAAGTAGGAAATAAGGTGGGTCCTACGAGTAAAAGGCAGGAGAGAGGAGACAGTAGTAGGATGGAGAATACATATGTTTTTTTTTATTTCTTATGGGTGGTCTTTATACCTAAGGGTAGCCCATCATAATGTCACCTAGAACTACTCCTACTGTGTATAATACCCACCCTAAAGGCTTAAGACCCACCTTATAGCATACATTGTGGATGTCCTAATATGCCACATTGACCAGTAACCAATAATACTATATATAAAGACAAGTTATTTTAAATGGAAATTTTGTAATAATTTATTTCACAATATATATCTAGCATTATCATTTTTATACACTTTTTTGTTACTGGTTGGAGTTAAATAAAATTGACCGAGATAAACTTATTTGAAGGTGGAACCAACGGGTCATTAACCAAATCCAAAATGTCCATTATCTACACGTAGTACTAACTAATGAGGCGATGCCACATGCTGAGAGCCTCATTGGTTGGCTTAATAATTAAGCCAAATCAAAAGTTGAAATTTTAATTTTCAAACTTAATTTTATAGTTGATTTTAAGATATTTTCAATGTAAATCTTTTC